TATTGCAAGGTAAAGTCAAAGGTAAGAGAGGACACGGTAGAAGGAGAATATCATGGCTGCGGAATTTAAGAACATTATTTAAGAAAACCTCAACTGAGCTGTTTCGAGCCGCAGCGAGCAAGGTTATGATTGCCAATATGATTTCCAACATCCGAAACGGATAGGAACCAGAAGAAGAAGAAGAATCTTTCTATCATCCTCATCTACACCATCCTTCCATCTGAGTTTTGGCCTACCCCTTTTTCTACTTCCCACGGCTTGTGACATTAGGATTCTTCTAGGAGGGTTGTTCTGTAATCTTGCTAGATGTCCTGCCCATCTTCCTATTCTTATAAGAGATACTACGTCTTTACCACCAAATATTTGTTTATATCTGTGGTATACCTCGTAGTTGTATCTCCTCCTCCAAACACCATTTTCACAGATGCCACCAAATATTCCTCTCAGGATCCTTCGTTCAAATATAAGCAGAAGGTCTTCGTCTGCCTTAGAGATGGTCCATGTCTCCGATCCATATGTCAACACTGGCTGTATAAGGGTTTTGTATATGGTTATTTTTGTTTTTAGGCTTAAGTTTCTACTTCCCATATGTCTCCTCAGTCCAAAATAGCATATGTTTGCCATTATTATCTTTCGCTTGATTTCTTCCGTTATAGCGTTCTCTTTGGTGATCAGGGAGCCTAAGTATGTGAATTTGTCCACCACTTCAAAGGTAGAGTTATCAACCGAGAATTGGGGACCGGTGTTCCTGACTATCGTTGGGTGTTGATGCCATCATCTTAGTTTTCTCCTCATTTACTTGCAGGCCTATAGATTTTGAGGCATTTCTTCTAGCTTGCGTGTTGTGCGGGCAACTAGGTCCACATCATCTGCATATGCCAAAATTTGAGATGATTTATTAAAAATATTTCCTCTGTTGTCTATTTGGGCATCTCTGATCGCCTTTTCCAGTGCTATGTTGAAAAGGAGACACGCCAGCGCGTCTCCCTGTCGCAGCCCAACATGCGTTCCAAACGCCTGTGATTGTTCGCCCTGTATTTCGACTTTGCAAACCACATTACGCATTGTAGCCTTAACTAATCTTATCGGTTTATCTGGGATGTGGAATTCATTCATGGCTTCATACAATTTATTTCTTAGGACACTATCATAGGCAGATTTGAAGTCTACAAAAAGATGGTTTGTATCGATATTGAATTCATTGATTTTTTCCAGTATTTGCCTTAGCACAAAGATCTGATCTGTTGTTGATCGACCAGGCCTAAAACCACGTTGATATTCTCTGAGAAGTTCCTCTGAATATGCACTTAGACGACCATATAAGATCCTCGAAAATATTTTGTATGCTGTATTAAGGAGGATTATTCCCCTATAGTTTTTACATTCCAATTGGTCACCCTTTTTGTGTAGCGGGCAAACGATTCCAATACACCACTCTTCCGGGATTTGTTCCTCATTTCAGGCTCTCAGTATTATTTTATATATTTGATTAGTTACAGTAGCACCTCCACATTTAATAAGTTCCGCGGGTATCACTTCCTAGAGATTTATTGTTTTTTAGGTGTTTTATTGCATCTCATACTTCTTGAAGTGACGGAGGCTCTAATGGTGAATTATAGCTTGCTACTGCAAGTGGTTGATTTGGATCTGGATCTTCTACTTCTATAGTAAGTAGTTCTTTAAAGTGTTCCACCCACCTGTTCAGTACTTTTTCTTTTGTATTTAGTATATCCTCCTTATCCTTACATAGTCTGAGCCTTGGTTTGAATTCCTTTCTTGCATTATTCAGAGTTTTGTAGAATTTTCTTGTTTGGTTTTCCTTTTTTTAATACCTCAAGTTCTTCCAATATTCTATTTTCGTGAGATCGCTTTTTTCTTCTATGAATGCACTTCTCTTCTTTTCTGAGATCTTTATATATTTGCTGTTTTTCTCGGGTTCTTCTTTGCTGCATCAGTTTATATACATTGTTCTTTCTTCTTGTAATGTCCTCACACTCAGCATCAAACCAGTCATTCCGTGGTGGTGGTCTTTCTGGCCCTAGAATATTATTTGCTGCATCTTTAATATTATTTTTACACATTTCCCATTGTTCACTAATTGTTAGGTCCTCATGAATTATGTGTTTAGTTTCGATATAGTTTTGAAATCTTTCTACTGTTTGCTGATTTTTGAGGAGTTCAATATTGAGCCGCATTGTTTTGGTACTTCTCTCCTTCGCAATTGAGATTCTAGCTCGAATTCGTGTGCCAACTAGGAAGTGATCTGAATCAATATTGGCGCCTTGATAGGTGCGGACATCCATTAGGTTTGAGAAGTGTCTAGCATCTATGATCACATGATCAATTTGGTTGTTCGTTAGACAATCAGGTGAGGTCTAACTAAGTCCAAATATGTATTTTTTTTTGTGTAGAAAACATGTGCTTCCTATGATCATGTTCTTTGCGGCTGCGAAGGTGACTGCTTGGTGTCCATTCGAATTGGTATCATTATGGAGACTATATCTACCGATGGGCGGTAGATATATTTCTTCCCTTCCGATTTTTGCGTTCAGATCACTGATTACTATTTTAATGTCATTTCTGGGACAACTGTCATATGTTCTTTCTGTTATTCATTTACAATTTACTTCATTTACATATACATTATATTCTGTGAGTTTAACTCTGTGGTTTAGAAGGTTTACTTTTAAAAAATCAGAGTTTAAAGTAAAGACGATTGGAGAAACGACCGGAAACCTCATCCTATGCATAGCAAACAATGAAGAATTTATCTAATGAATAGGAAACACTCGAAATATCTGAAAAAGACAATTAACTCAATACATTCTTAAGGTTAAGTTATTAGGTACAGAACGCAAAATTACATCTTAGGAGTGATTAGACATCAAATAACAACCTAATAAACAATAAGTATAGCGATAAGTTTCTAATTATTAAATAAATTATTAAAGAAAGTATTAAAGAAGTGACTACATAATCACTTCTTTTTTTATCAGCCCAGATAATAAAAGACCTTATGGCTAAACTGACAATTGGACAGAGACAGAAAATATGTTAGCCAAAGTAAATGAAAATACTGCAGTAAGTGTATTAAGAAATGGTCTAAAGAATGAGAGAATTGTTTTCTCTTAGGATAAAATCATAAAAGAAAGGAATCATACATTTTTAGCAGAAACAATTACAATATTAACCAATTGTTAAGAAAGTAGAGACCCTTCGTCAAAAAGAAACTTCAGAAATATTCCACATTGATTGAAACTATAGAGGTGGGAGAAGAAATAGTAGAAGAGTAGAACAAAGAAACAATAATATCCGAAATGCAGATGGAAATGTCAGGCAACAATATTTGATTATTATATTTTAGGTTTTAACTTTTTATAAAGAATAGGTTTTAGAACTAGAATAGAACCTAATATTTTTCATAAAATTAAAAATGTTTCCCATATGGTGGTGAATTAATTGGACACACTTTGTATATATATATATATATATATATATATATATATATATATATATATATATATATATATATATATACAATAGACATGCATAATAAAATCTCAAATATTTGGACATAAGGAACGAATGCAGTTAAAATGTTAGCAGAAAACTATAATTAATTAACAGTAAGAAAATATAAAGAAGCAGAAAGAGACTAAGGTGGAAAACTGAAAAAAAAAACAAAGATTTAACCCTTTCGTGACAGGAAACCACTCTCAATACATAGAGGACTTGTTTACATATGGGAAATTATGGTAAATTAAAGTAAATCATTCATTTGCATATTCAATAGCAATAAAATTGCTATTCTTTGTTTCAAGTTAAGAAAATAACATTACGCTTATGGAGATCAGTGTTGCCAAAACTCTCAGACACTCTCTTTTGCACGGATGTTTAAGATATTCCCTTTGCTTAATTTTTGAATTTTCATTTTCAATTAACATTTAACTGTAAAGTCAGAATAACTACTAAATAAAAGCCTTAGTATCATTATGTAGTCAGAGAACGACATAAAATAGCTGACATACGCACATCGTATTATTTTAAGTTGCAACTAGTAATTAGATATATACGCATTCCAAGCGGTCAATATTTTCTACTGATTTCTATGATTCATGGCATATCATATTCTCACTGAAAAAACAAATAAACTGTCGTTACTATAATTAAAATAAGATAAAATAAAATTATCTTTTGTAAATACTATTTATCTAATTAAAATCATTTTCCCTACTTTTCATCTCTTGTTTCGAATGGGCACTTTTGGTCAATTACGTTAAAAAACATTAATTTAATTCATGTTTTTGGAAATGAAAATACAAATTATACAACCCTAAATTGTGCTTGTGTGTGTAGTGGCAACGCCGCGTTGCTATCGTCCATAAGAAATACATGGCCCTATCTCCGCAATGTTATTTTCTAAACATGGAACGTAGTATAGTTGTATTTTATCAGTGATTGTATGCCTTTTGCTTTGTCAATAATATCCCATTACCAGCGATTTAATTACTTTTTTATGTTTATTTGAATATGTTTATTTAGTTTATAACAAAAATCTGTTGGATAATATGGAAAAATGGATAATATAATATATTTTTGACAGAGTAGGTTTAATGTTTCAAGCAGACCACATCCTAGTAAACCGGTGCTGTACCAAAAGGTTTAAGGAAGCTGGACAACTTAAATTGGCAAAGGAATGCGCAAAAAAACAAATGGAGGCAGATTGTTTGACAGACAATAATACTTACTAATGCCAACTTGGAAATATGTTTAAGAATCAGAGATAAAATATTAAGTGATGAGCAACTTGGAGTCTATTTCAAAGTAATAATAAAATTAAGTAAAGTAGAGTTACAAAGAGTTTTCTACAGAATTATAAGGACTTCATTATCAGTATAAGTGTATATCAAGCCATCTTATATCTCTAAAAAAAATTTGATCTATATAAAATATTAATAAATGGTATATTAAAAAGTCCAATAATAAAATTGATCACATACCTAAAAAGATCCATAGCCTCTTCAACTCCCATAGTTTCTGCTATTAATGCTTGTCCTATCCAATTATTAACATAATTTGGATCTGACCTTTGACCTTGTGCAAATGCTTTATTTGCCAATTTAATATCTCCTACAATAAAATATAAAACCCCTAAATTTCCCCAAGAGACTGGATTATTATTTTCAATGGTAACAGCCTTAATAAAATAATGTTGTGCTAGGGCATAATTTGGAGGTGTCTGCTCCATAGCAATATTACCAAGTAAATTCCAGTGTTGCCAATGTTTGGGGTTAGATATTGCACAATGTTTTGCTGCAGTCATTGCATATGATAAAAGCATGTCTTTATCATTCTTATTTTCTATACACTTAGCATGCTTTAAATAACAGGATGCTAGATCATGCCACAATAAATTGTTTTCATTCAAAGATATAGCCTTACAGTAACAAGTAGTGGCTAAATGGAACAAATCTTCTCTTTCTATTTTATCATTACCTTCTACAAGTTCCTGGGTTACATTTAAATAACAATAATTATCAGGCAAATTTGTAATAAAAATACAAACATCAGCTATAATCTTCCATAAACATGAAAATAACTTATTTTGCTTTATAGCCAATGTTATATAGTTTAATGCATTTTGTAAATGATTTCTTACTGTTCCTAAACGCTGATCTCTATAACATTCTTTAGCTTGATACAAATAGGTTTCTGATAAACCCTTTAAAGCTGGCAAGCATTGTTGATTACTTAAAATTATTTCTTTAAATTCTGCACAGGCTTCATCATACAAACCCATTGTTTTCTTTATATTAGCTATCTGTAAACAAGGATATAATGTATTTTCTGTATATTCCAAGGATTTTTCATAACATCTCAGAGCTGATACATATGATCCTCTAGCAAAGTATGCATCTGCTAAACATTGCCAGCAATTGGTATTTTCTTTTTCTACCCTCACCACAAACTGTAATTTTTCTATAGCTTTTGAATAGTTTTCCTGTTCTAAATAACACAACCCTAGTTGCAGCCAAGCCCAACAATTTTTTTGGTTGATAGGCCCAACAGTTATTGCTTCAAGCAAATTTTGAGTAGAATCCCATTTCTTTAATATTGTATAAATTTTGCTAAGATTTTCTACTATTTCTTGAGAGTTTTTATTCAAACTGAATGCTTTTTCATAACACCTTCTTGCTTTATCAAAATCTTCTATTTCTTGATAATAATTTCCTAAATTGATAAAGCAAATATAATTGTTTGGATCATATTTTGAAGCTTTTAGAAAAGGTATGAGTGACTTTTTATAGTCTTTAAGTGTCCAATAAATTAAGCCAATTTCCGTAAACCATTCAGACATATTAGGTGTATCAGACTCTAAAATACTTAAAGCTTCATCAAATTTCATTTGCTTTTTACACAATTTTGCCTTTAAAAATCTGGCACTTAGTTCATTTTGGCTTTCTAAATTTTCAAGTAATGACTGAACAACTGGATATTTTTTTAAGTTAATAAAAGCTAATATTATATTTTCTAAATTTTCACTTTTAAGTTTTTTATCTAAAGTATTTTTATAAATTTCTACAGCTTCTATCCAGTCATTTTCATTTTTAGACTTTGACAATATTTTTAAATGTGAGTCTGTTAATATATTATCTAGAATACTATTTGTATATTTTGTAGACTTTAGTAGTTTAGTTGCAGATAAATAAGCTTGCATAGCATCATCATTATGATTTAATTTAGAACAAATATTCATTAAAAACACCCAAGCATGAACAAGTCCAGGTCGTAAATTACAAACTTCACTTAAAATGTCTTTACAATCTATCAGCTTATTATCTAAAAATAGTTGAATACCTTTTGTAAATAACCCAATTGCATTTTTTGGTTCTAATAATAATAATTGAGGAAAATATTCTTTTATTTTATTGGTAAATTTATCCACTAATTTTGATTCCTCCACAAACAATTGATTATATACTTTACATAACCAAACTAGAGACACAATATCATTTTCAAAAAATACATGCACATCTTCTGCAACTTCAAACACTTCTTCATATTTATGTTGTCGATATAGTAAATTTATATAGGAAGAAAAATATTCAATACTTCTATAGTCTCTTAATTTAAGCAATTCAGAAAAACATGTTTCAAAGACAGCTAGCAACTCATGTGGAGTATCTTTTAAAGTTACATAAAATTTAGCCAAAATGTCAAACATTTTATGAGAGTCAGATCCTAATTTTGTGGAGCAATTAAAAACAGCATTTGTTATGTCAACCAAATTGTTATTGTTCTGAAATTTACATAACTTTTCAGAATATTCAAGTATTTTTTTTGTATTTGTTTCAACTTTGAGGGCGGAAAGGTATGTGTCTACTAGTTTACTTTTAGCTTCATCAGATTCCAATTTTTCATAATAAATCACCAATCCATTCCAAGCTAAAGGATTTGTGGGATTATGTTCTATAGCTTTTTGAAATGCTTTACAAGCCTGCTCTACTGGACCCACTTCTTGTAAAGCTAATCCTAGAAACACTAATGCCATATAATTGGCCTTATCTTCCCTTAAAATAGATTTGGATAACTTAAGTGCTACATCAAATTTTTTATTTTTTATAGCCTCGCGGGCTTCTTTTAATAATGCTTTTATGTCTTTCATATTTTTGATTTCTTGTTGTTAAAAGAGTTAACAATTCATTAAGATTTCTTTTTTAAAGATACCATAATTTTATAAAAACATTTTAAAAACTTTGACATATTTTATATCACATTACCTTAACCTCAAATTAAATTTCTTCTTCTTCTTCTTTATTTTTTAGTATCTTATGATGTTGTCCTACAGCGATTAAGAGATTGAACTATACGAAGAATAACAACAGCTATGGAAGAAAAGAAATCAAAATTAACGCTAATAATCGGGGACTTTAATGCCAAAATAGGATAACAACTATATAAAGAAGAAGACAAAGTAGGACACCATGGATACGGCAAAAAAAATGATAGAGGACACACATTGAGGAATTACTTGGAGGAGAAGTAACTATATGTAATGAATACATTCTTTAAGAAAAAAACACAAAGAAAATGGACATGGATTAGTCACAATTGTAAAACTAAAAACGAAATTGATTATATTCTTTCAACGCAAAAATCCATGGTTAAAGACGTAACAGCTCTAAATCGCTTTTCAACTGGTAGCGACCATAAACTAGTCCAAGCTGATCATTGATAGTAGATTTGAAACAAGAAAGAAAATGGAAAATATTCAGAAATTAGACATGGAAAAACCAAAACAAGAAAAACAGACGTACGAAGAGAAAATAATGGAAATAGTGCCGACCAAGGAAGATATAGAAAACAAACATATCGATGAAATAAACATGATATTTACTGAAACTCCAATGAAAGTGGGTAAAGAAATAGCAGAGACAACAACAAAAAAAAAAGAAAGTTTCATATCCCAGGAAACAAAGATTCTTATGCACACAAGAAGAACATTACTAGAACAAGGGGACAGAAATAAAATGGAATACAAAGAAATAAACAAAACTATTAGAAAAAATATCAAGGAGTGTATACGGAGAGTACAGGAAGAAAAGATAGAGAAAACCATTGAAAAAAAAAATAGAAACATGAAGTGAATAAAGCAGAACCTGGAAAAAATACAAATTAATAGTGTTACGATTTTAAATATTATGGCGTATAAAACTGTAAACATATTTTGACTAATTCTTTTCTATTTGTAGTAATTTTGGCGCTCATACCTGTTACCTGCCAACAGAAATTACTAGACCCTTTTCCAGAAAGGTCGAATATCCACTTCAGGTACCAAGAATGCCGTCGTCCGAACTTACCAGAAGGCGAACGAATTTTCTAGACTGGTTGAATGAGTCACCCAATGGATGGTAAGTCATCGATGCATCGAAAGACCCTTCTAGATAGCGGCATTTCATATAAATAACGGTGATTCTCATTGAGGAGAGTTAGTCAAAAGAAGATCGCGGTCTCGCGTTAAAATGTAACGGACGTAGATAAATTATTAAGTGTAAAATAAATTATTAGTAATAAAGACTGTGATAAATTCGTGAGTGTCATAAATATTGAACCTTTAGTAAATTAAAATAAGAACAATAAATTAGAATTAACCAAAACATTATACTGGTGTTCAGAAGTGAAATTGTGAAATTGTGAAAATGGCTACAATTTATGAGCTCACAGTTACGGATTTAAGAAGACATCTTGAAGACAGAGAATTAGCTTCTACTGGAAAAAAGGCTGAGTTAGTCCAACGACTAAAGAACGCTTTAAAAGAGGAGGGTTTAGATTCGGAAACTTATATATTTGAAGACAAACATGCTGCTGTCATCTCGTCGATTTCGAAATTAGAGAACAAAGTTTCTGACGATATTTCGAAAGTTTCTTCTGATGTAGCTAAAGTTTCTGGTGATGTAGCCAAAGTTTCTGGTACATCGCATCATTAGAGAACAAAGTTTCTGATGATATTTCGAAAGTTTCTTCTGATGTGGCCAAAGTTTCCGGAGACATGGCTTCTTTGGAAGACAAAGTTTCTAACGAGATTTATTCTCTGGAATGCAAAGTTTCTGCTAACATCTCTCTGGAAATCTTTAAAGTCACTTCTGAGATGTCTGCCCTCGACGATAGAGTGTCTTCGTTAAAAAACCAAGTTGCTGCCGATATGTTGGCCTTCGAAGAAAATATGAAGGCAATGGAAAGGAAGATTGAGGAAATAGGGACAGCAGAGAGAGGAAACGATCCAATTACAGCGGAGACAAAAGAAGACGAGACGAAATGTAGGTTCGTTTATGTGTGGAAGTGGAGGTTCTGTTTATGTCAAAGTCCCAACTTTCGACGAAAAATTGTCATGGAACAACTACATGAAACAGTTCGAATCAGCTGCAAGAGCGAATAGATGGTCTGAAAAAGAAAAGGCTGTAAACCTGACTATCGCTATTCGAGGAGATACTTTAGATGTGCTTCAGACCATAGCCGTAGAGAAGACGTATGATTTTGAACAACTTAAGAAGAGGTTAAATATGCGATATGGCCACGAACATTTGGAGCATGTATATCAGTCGCAGCTTAAAAATCGAAAAGAAAGATGAGGCCCTTCAAGAATATGAGATAGATATTGCCAGATTAGTACGATATGCTTATCCAACAGCTCCCGAAGACATGATGGAAAAGTTGGCCGTTCAAACGTTTATTGATGGTCTTCGTGATCATGAAATGCAGAGAACACTGCGATTAGCTCGTCACAAGATGCTAGTTGATGTCTTATCCGCCGCCCTTGAATACGAGTCAGCTACGCAGGCCTCTGGCGGGTACAGTACGGGTACAGTTTTTCCAAAGACCCTCTCATACTAATAGCTTCTTTGAAATGTCGTGAAGATAGTGTATATGTAGATGGAGAAATAAATGATAAAAAGCATACGTTGTTAGTGGATACTGGAGTGACCAGAAGCATTATACGCCCGACAGTTATAAACAGTCGAAAGAAACTATTACCAACGAGGTTGCGACTTCGGACCGCCACAGGTGAAAATCCCAACATTCATGGAGAAATCCAGGTACAATTAGGAATTGGAGCAGAAAAGTTGGTCCATACTGTTATAGGTGCTGACATCGAAGAGGCTGTTATATTAGGAATTGATGTAATGAATACGCATGGATTCCAATTGGATTTTAAGAATAAGGTAATCAAAGTTCGTAACGAGGAAGTATTTCTCCATCCACATGATGACAACACTATGCAAGCAGCCGTTAAAGGAGACCTGTTATGATGGAGCCTTGGAACCATGATGACGAGGTTGGCCGAGGAATCATAATTGGAAAGGAATTGGTGACTTCGGCTAAAGAAATACCTGTGAGACTTATCAATGTCAATGACTATCCAGTCACCATCAAGAAAGAGATAAAAGTAGGAACTTGTGTACCTGTGATATCCATAATCCGTCAGACGACAACATTTAATAACTCCAACGAAAAATTCGACCAAATGGTTGCAGTTGCTGGTCAGTCTCTGAATCAAATTGAGAAAAGGAAATTAAGGGAATTTCTTCGGCAGTATCGTGATATTTTCGTACCGAAAGGAGGAAAGACGGGAAGAACTACCATTGTTAAGCATAAAATTGATACTGGTAGTGCTAAGCCAATTCGTCAAACAGCTCGACGATTACCACAGGCGAAAAGAGAGGAAGCTGAAACGATGGTTCAGGAAATGAAGAAAGACGGGGTAATAGAACCTTCTACAAACCCATGGATCTCTCCGGTGGTCCTGGTTAAGAAGAAAGACGGAATAACGAGGTTCTGTGTGGATTACCGTTTGCTGAACAATGTTACTAAGAAAGATAGTTTTCCTCTGCCTCGGATCGATGACACATTGGACACATTGACTGGAAGTAAATTATTTTAAAACATTTTACACTTTTAGACCATATTCCATACGACAAAAAGTAACATAGGTTGCCTAATACACAGGTCATCCTCTTAAACATGACTTTAACATCATTGGTGATTTCACTTCGATTATAACCCAAATTTTAAATCCCAACACCTAGATTGCTGTTATTATTTTTTAAAATCATCAAAATAAAATTTTGAATCTTTTGGCTATACTAGGTATAACTAATATAGTTCCATGTTACATTGACATATTGTTTTTGACACCGTTCATAGGTATATTGTAAATCAGTTTTCAGCTGTTCTCCGTGCGTTGAGGTTTTCTCCCCGGCTCTGGAACTCAATTTTACAATGTATGTTACCTGAAGTCATATTTAATTTAATACTGAACATCACAGTTTTTTAACAACAAGATGTATAATCTTTTATAACTATATGTAATTTAAAGGGTTTTTACCCATGTATTTTGGTGGCTCAGGCATTTTAACCTAGTAAGTATAGCCATTTTTGCTTTTTAACCATAGTCAAAATTTCATAACCACGTTTGTTCTAACTAAATGGTTTATGCTTATTTTAGGCGATTTTAAACCTGATGATGGACTGTTTAGTCCGAAAACGTGTGTTGTTTTTGATGTAGCCCTTTTAAGGGTTTTTAAATAAATATACCCACTTACGAAGACTAACCCCTTTTTTTTTTTTTTTTTTTTTTTTTTTTTTTTTTTTTTTTTTTTTTTTTTTTTTTTTTTTAATTTGGACACTGTAACGCTCCTGCGACAATTTGAGAGGCTTATGTAAAATGTGTTGATAGGGTTATCTTGGAAAACATGCCTAGTTTATCTATATGACATAATCGTCTTGGGGGAGACATTTGAAGATCATTTGAGGAATTTAGAAAACGTTTTTAATTGACTTAACACTAGAAGCACCAGAGCGGTCATTTTGACTGCTTTTCATTTTTGACACACTGTATTACCTATTCATAAATGTTTTAGAAACTTGACAAACCATGACTTTTCCTAGATCTATTTGAAGATTATAATTTCTCTTTTGCAGGTACTTAGCGTAATTACTTTTTAAGATATGGTAACGTATACCTAGAACTACCATATAGCAGTCATTTTGACTGCTTTCTATTTTCGACCCTCATTAGTCTAGAGTGTTACTCATTCATATTTATTTTACAAAATTTATGATTTGGGACTTTATTATTTACTTGAGGATTATAATTTCTCTTTTACAGGTACTTAGTATAATTACATTATGAATATATTTATGCTGATGTCTACCTAGAAAAATGCGGTCCTAATGACGAGGTAGTCTAATTTTTGTTCTACTTTTCTGGGAAGTTTTTCCTTATTTTATATATAAAATACATCGAAAA